CCGATTTCCCCCCCTTCATTAATGAATGGTGACTAACATAACAAAATAAAATAAAATGTTAAGAAGAAACAAACTGAGGGTTGCTGGAGGGGAGGGGGGTAGGGGGATGGGGTAACTGGGTGATAGACATTAAGGAGGGCATTGGGTATTATATAAGATTGATGAATCACTGAACTCTACCTCTGAAACTAATAATATACTATATGTTAATTGAATTTAAATAAAAAATTTAAAAAAGAAAAAAAATGAATGGGACTAAAGCTGCACCTGTTTCTCAGTCTTGTGTGAGGGTCAAACAAAATATGCCTGAAAAGTGAGTAGGATTATAAAGAGATATTTGTGTACCCAGGTTTATCTTGCCCATGGAGTCCCCGAATGATCCAAACCAGTGGTTCTTGATTGGCCATGAGCCTCCCAGAAGCACAGGACAGCCTGCCCCCACTCCAACAGTCACCTGGTTCCAAATGTCAACAGTGCCAAGGTTGGGACATCCTGATCTGACCTGTATAATCTCTTCAGTCTCAGCTTTATGCTCCTCGATTCCAGCTACACTAATCACTTATCGCTTATATGAAAATGCCAAGCTCTTTGCCTCATCAAGGCTTTGGGGCATGCTGAACATGCTGTTCTTCCATGAATCTTTTTTTTTTTTTTTTAATGATGCGGGGCTCGATCCCAGGACCCTGGGATCATGACCTGAGCCAAAGGCAGACGCTTAACGACTGAGCCACCCAGGCGCCCATTCCATGAATATTTCTTATGACCAGGTATAATCTCAAATGTCACCCCTCCAGGGGCCCCTGGGTGGCTCAGTCGTTGAGTGTATGCCTTCAGCTCAGGTCGTGATCCCAGGGTCCTGGGATCGAGTCAAGCGTCGGGCTCTCCGCTCGGCGGAGGGCCTGCTTTTCCCTCTCCTACTCCCCCTGCTTGTGTTCCCTCTCTCGCTGTGTTTCTCTCTGTCAAATAAATAAATAAAATCTTAAAAAAAAAAATGTCACCCCTCCAAAGGAAAGCTCCATGAGACCGTTCTGTTAATGAGATCCATCAGATAATATTCCATCTCAGTGCCTCAAGGGGAAAACATAGTGCGATCCTGGGTTGGTGACAGAAGATAAATGAGCTTCTGTGAGCTTGTGTGCAAGTCATTCTACTGAGGGATGGCTCCAGCTTGATGAGCCTCACTTAGGAAAAGCCAGCCTGAGGGGGGAAGGGAGGAGAGGGTTCTGTATCCTCATCACATCCCGCACCTCTGCTCCAGCCCCTGAAGCTTCCCTCCTGGGCTACAGAGCTCTGGACAGGCTGAAGAACCATGGCCCCATCCCTGTCTGCCCTTCTCTGTCTTGGTGAGTCCTGAGAGTTGATCTGGGAAATGCTGAGGGATAGGCAGTGGGCTATGAGACTAAGAATGTTTAAAAAACTGCATCAGAAATGAATTTCAGGACAGCTGGTGACCTATGAGGGCCCTTCATTTGTTGGTTGGGAAAACTGGGACCCAGGGAGGTGGTGTTTGTCTGTTATTCTGTTCTATTCTCTTCTTGGCTGGGTCAGGAAATAAACAGGTCTTCCAGTTTTGGGTGCAACTTTGTCTCTATACACTGTTTTAATTATTTAATTATTAATTTATATTTTGTATGTGGACTTGGTGACATCAGGACTAGATTACAGATTTGTCAGCAAACCTCACGGCACAGGGACAAATAATCCTGCCATTTGCAACAATATGGATGGACCTTGAGGCCATTATGCTAAGTGGAATAAGCCAGACACAGAAAGAAAATACCGCACAATCTCACTTATATGTGAAATCTAAAAAAGTCGAACTCATTAAGGCAGAGAGTGGATCACTACATCAAAAACTAATGATGTATTGTATGGTGACTAACATAATAAAAGAAAAAAAAAAAAGGCAGAGAGTAGACTTGTGGTTGCCAGGGGCTGAGGGTGGGAGGAAATGGGGAGATAGGCGGACAGAATACAAGCTTCTAGTTATAAGATGAGCAAGTTCTGGAGATCTAATGCACAGCATAGTGACTATAGGCAATAATAATATAGAAATTTACTGAAAGAGTAGATCTTAAGCATTTTCACCAAACCACACCAAAAATCAAAACAACCTGTGTGAGGTAGTGGACGGGTGGTGATAATTTGACGGTGTGAATGTCCATCGAATCGTCATGTTGTACCCCCTAGATGTAGTTTTTCTTTGTCAGTGATACCTCAATAAGGCTGAAGTAAGAGCCTCCCATGGTGGGATTGGTAGTAGGATTACGTGTGTTTATTGCCTGCCCTGGCTAGGCAGGGTGTGTGCACAGTTCCCTTATTTATTCAGAAGAGCCCTATTGCTAAAAGGATGGAGGCTCCCAGGGGCCAAGCAGGAAGGAACAGCTGTGTTATGGGGATAAGAAAACACGTCATGAGCACAGACCACCTGTCAGTCATTCATTAACACACACTCATGTGGCACTTACTATGGGCTAGATATTACTCTATGTTTTTTAGCAGACACTTACTTAATTCCCAGAATGGCCTGATGAGGTAGGGCCTTTTTCATACCCCCATTTTACAGAGGAGAAAGCTGAGGCCCAGAGGGACTAAGGAACTTGTTTAAGGTCACACATCTAGGGCTCGAATAAACTCAAGAGTTTAGCACCAAGTTCACACTGTTTATCACTAAAATATGCTGCTGGTGTTTGAATCTACCTCCTGCCAGCTGCAGGATGGCGGACACGATACAGTCTCCATAGTCTGATCTATAAAATGGGGCTAATAATGGTCCCTAACCAGAAGGACTGTGGTGATTCAGGGTCCATCCAGGAAGTTCTCAGAAGGGGACTGGGAGTATTTTCAGTCACGCTAGAAGGCTGGATGGAAACCCACGAAAGGACCAAGGTGGGGTTGTGTTGGGCAGCAGACAAAGATGTGGGTAGAGCTTGGGTACAGGGAGCAGAACCTGGTGTGGATAGAGGTTCAGAGGGGGCTGGAGACAAGTGTGTCACCCCCTGAGCTCTGGAGTCAGGGATGATCCAGGTCCTGCCACTTCTTAGCTGTGTGAGCTCAAAGAAACTGCTTAGCCTCTCTGTCCAGTTTCCTTATGTTTATCATGGAGACAGTAACTCCTCCTGAGCTTGTGTGTGTGTGTGTGTGTGTGTGTGTGTGTGTGTGTAAGGATAAGAGTTACCAGGTAAAATACGACATGCTCAGTGACATTTATTTTCAGGTAAACAACAAATAATATTTTAAGCCTAAGTATATCCAGCTATATTTTGTGGGTCATACTATGAAAAAATTTTTCATTGTTTATCTGAAACTTATATTTAAATGGGAGTCCTATGTTTTTATTTGCTAAATCTGGCAACCCTAGTGAGACTAAAACAGGTTATGTTACCAACCGAGCAAAAAGGGTAAGAAAACTAACGATGTACTGTATGTTGGCTCACTGAACATAATAATAATAATAAAAAAAAGCCAGCTTGAGAGAAAAAGACAGTTGTTCAACCTAGAGAAGGTAGAAGGCAAAATGGAGGAAAAGCACCTCCACCGGAGAAAGTGGCACTGATTGATTAGGCAGTTTGACAGGTGTGTAAAATTACGCGGGGAGGCTATTTGGAACTGTGGAAAGAATTAGACACAGGGTCAAGGAAAACTATGCAGATGGCACTAAGCCAGACAAATACTGATTCCAGGTTCAATAAATAGGAAAAATATACAGGTACAACACTACACTCCTCAGATGTGAATAATATTTGCACAGTCATAGTGTAATTACAGAATATTGATTTAGACAAAAAGTTAGAACAGTGGGAAATCCATGGATTAACACAGCCGGTGATCTCTAGACATGACAGAATGCAATAGATCCCACCCGGATCTAATGTACAGCTTGGTGATTTCTTTTTTTAAAGATTTTATTTATTTATTTGAGAGAGAGAGAGAGAGAGCATGAACAGGGGGAGGGGCAGAGGGAGAGGGAGAGGCAGACTAACCACTGAGCAGGGAGCCCGATGCGGGGCTCGATCCCAGGACACTGGGATCATGATCCGAGCTGAAGGCAGATGCTTAACAGACTGAGCCACGCAGGCGCCCCTACAACATGGTGTTTATAGCCAAGAACACCTTGTTGCCGAGTATCCTAAAAGTTCTCACCACAAAAAAAGAAATGGTAATTATGTGACGGGATACAGGTGTTAGCTAATGCTGTGGTGGAAATCATTTTGTGATATATAAATGTCAAATCAACACATACCTTAAATTTACACAATGTCGTACATCAGTACTCTCCATAAAGCTGGGGAAAAAAAAGAGACCACATCCTGCACACAGCCCCCTTTTCAGAGAGGAGATAGTTCTCTTCACAGTTGTCAAAAGTGTGTGCATTGGGGCACCTGGGTGGCTCAGTTGGTTAAGCGACTGCCTTCGGCTCAGGTCATGATCCTGGAGTCCTGGGATCGAGTCCCGCATCGGGCTCCCTGCTCGGCAGGGAGTCTGCTTCTCCCTCTGACCCTCCCCCCTCTCATGCTCTGTCTCTCTCATTCTCTCTCTCTCAAATAAATAAACAAAATCTTTAAAAAAAAAAAAAAAAGTGTGTGCATGGGGAGGGGGCAAGGAATCCCTGGCTGGCTTTTTAAAAACTGTGGTAAAATAACAAACTTAACATAAAATGTATCATTAATGACATTTAGTACACTTGCAAGGCATGCAAACATCACCTCTGTCTTGTTCCAAGACACTGTCACCACTCCAAAAAGATCCCATACCCATGACAACCAACCCTCAATCCTCCTTCCCCAGCCCCTGGCAACCACTCATCTCCTCTCTGTGTTTCCAGGCAGACTGACCCAGTGAGCACGTTTCAGATAAATGGAATCATACAGTATGCGGCCTTTCATGGCTGGCTGCTTCTGGCACTTAAATTATGTGATTGTGTGTGTCCTTAAAAAAAAAAAAAAAATGAGGAGAAGAGAAAGTCACTGCCTGCAAATGTCTAAAATCACCTGCCTTGCATGCAGAAGTGTGGGCTCCGGGAGGTCCTAGCCTTTGGTGCTTTTCTTCTCTGCTCAGGGCTGTGTCTGGGGCAGGTCGTGCAAGCTCAGCATGGTGAGTCCTTCCCCGCCCCAGAGTCCCGGAGTCCCTGGTCCCTCCTCTGGGCTCAGGAGGGTGGGGGCAGTGGGGGCCCCGGGAGGAGGAGCCTTTTTGGAAGCTGCCCTCCACCAGGCTCCACTTCCCTTCTAGGCCCGCTGCCCAAGCCCTCCCTCCAGGCCCTGCCTAGCTCCCTAGCGCCCCTGAAGACGCAGGTGACCATCCGCTGCCAGGGACCTCCGGGGGTGGACTTGTACCGCCTGGAGAAGCTGAAGTCCGTGAATTACCAGGATCAGCCCATCCTCTTCATCCCGGCCATGGAGGAACGTTTCGCCGGATGCTACCGCTGTTCCTATCAGAATGGAAGCCGCTGGTCTCCCCCCAGCGACCGGCTGGAGCTGGTTGCTACAGGTTCCTGGTGGGGCTTGGGGCTGTACCCGTCGCCTGGGGGCTCCAGGAGGGTGAGGAGGGGGATGACGATGACAGCGGACCCCGAGACCCAAGGGGCTGGGATTGGGGTGGGGAGTGAAGCGCTAGCTACGTTTAGGAGAGGTGCCCCAAAACGCAGTGATCCACGTAAGTGATATGTCAATGCACTATCTTTCTAAAACAACAAAAACCAATGCGAAAACATTCACACTGAACAAAACACCACACTTTTAAGTAAAGACAGAATCAGTCAGTGCCGTTTCAAACCATACCTGAGCCGGATGCAAAAGGCAACATGCATACCCTCTCTCCACATGCTAATGCCTTCTTTTTAAATTTTTGGATGGAATAGAATATTCTCAGCTTGTCCTTTTATTTCTAATGCATTTTCAAATGGTTATTTTCCGAACAGATTTTGAAAATATCATTGATGAGTTTGTTTCCCTAAAGCCAGGAGAGTAAAAGGATAATGAATTCTTTAAAAAAGTTTTTTTGGTATAAATGAAATAAACTTAAAATAATTTGTGAGTTCTAATAGCCTACTTTAAAGTTTTTCAATTTTTTTCAACTATGTTAATAGTGTGGAAAAAATTCACCATAAAAATACACAAAAGTGTTTTGAGCCTTTTGCCTTTCCGCTAGGCACAGTTGGAGTCTGTTTTTGTTCAAAATCTTGGTTATTTTGCAGTATGAATTATTTGCATTAATTCTGGTTTAAAAATTGCATTAGAATAGTAAGCTATTTTGTTACTACTGTCATAGTTTGGGAGCTCCTTATGCATTAGGCAACTATGCTAAGTTGCTTCATTCAGTCATTCCCATTTTCTTTTCTTTTCTTTTAAATTTAAATCCAATTAGCCAACATATAGTACATCATTAGTTTTTTTTTCATCTTTACAACTATGGAATTATCTTTATTTTTTTTAATTTAAAAATCTTTTTAAATTATGTTCAGTTAGCCAACATTAGTTTTTGATGTAGTGTTCAACGATTCATCAGTTGCCATTTACAGTAAAGAACACTGAGGCACAATTTCTTTCATGAGTGTTCTGTAGTTCCTAGAGTATAGATCCTTTACCTCTTTGGTTAGGTTTATTCCGAGGTATCTTATGGTTTTTGGTGCTATTGTAAATGGAATCGTTTCTCTAATTTCTCTTTCTACAGTTGTGTTGTTAGTGTATAAGAAAGCAACTGATTTTTGTGCATTGATTTTGTATCCTGCCACATTACTGAATTGTTAGATCTATAAAGAGCTTCTCAAACTCAATACCCAAAAAACAAATAATCAAGTCAAAAAATGGGCAGAAGACATGAACAGACACTTCTCTGAAGAAGACATACAAATGGCTAACAGACACATGAAAAAATGTTCATCATCATTAGCCATCAGGGAAATTCAAATCAAAACCACATTGAGATACCACCTTACACCAGTTAGAATGGCAAAAATGGACAGGGAAAGAAACAAATGTTGGAGAGGTTGTGGAGAAAGGGGAACCCTCTTACACTGTTGGTGGGAATGCAAGTTGGTACAGCCACTTTGAAAAACAGTGTGGAGGTGCCTCAAAAATTTAAAAATAGAGCTACCCTATGAGCCAGCAATTGCACTCCTGGGTATTTACCCCAAAGACACAGATGTAGTGAAAAGAAGGGTCATATGCACCCCAATGTTCATAGCAGCAATGTCAGCAATAGCCAAACTGTGGAAAGAGCCGAGATGCCCTTCAACAGATGAATGGATAAAGAAGATGTGGTCCATATATACAATGGAATATTACTCAGCCATCAGAAAGGATGAATACCCAACTTTTACATCAGCATGGATGGGACTGGAGGAGATTATGCTAAGTGAAATAAGTCAAGCAGAGAAAGTCAATTATCATATGGTTTCACTTATTTGTGGAACATAAGGAATAGCATGGAGGACATTAGGAGAAGGAAGGGAAAAATGAAGGAGGGGGGAATCAGAGGGGGAAATGAACCATGAGAGACTATGGACTCTGAGAAACAAACAGGGTTTTAGAGGGGAGGGGGGAGGGGGGCTTGGTTAGCCCGGTGATGGGTATTAAGGAGGGCACATATTGCATGGAGCCACTGGGTGTTATACAAAAACAATGAATCATGGAACACCACATCAAAAACCAATGATGTATTGTATGGTGACTAACATAAAAAAAAAAAAAAAAAGAACACTGAGGCACAGATAGAAGGGTAGATTGATCTCCAGGATCACACAGCCCGTAAGGGACAGAACCAGGATTTGAGCCTGGGCACTGCGATATGATCCTGGTTCCTGGTTACATTCCCTGAACCCTTTTGTTGGCTGGTGGCAGGGCCAGTGGGTTCTCTAGGATGGATATACCTGGAAAGTTCCCTAGCTCTTAGGAGGTGGGGGGACCTTCTCACCCCCATGGCCACACACTGGCCATGGTCTTTAACACCAAAGCTCTCTTTTCTCCCAGGAGTTTATGCCAACAAGCCCTCGCTCTCAGCCCAGCCCAGCCCAGCTGTGTCCCCAGGAGGGAAAGTCACTCTCCAGTGTCGGAGCCAATACAGTTTTGACCAATTTGCTCTGTACAAGGAAGGGGATGCTGGGCCCCAGAAGGGATCTGAGAAGCAGTACTGGGCTGATTTCCCCATCACCGCAGTGACTGTTGCCCACAGTGGGACCTACCGATGCTACAGCTTTTCCAGCAAGTTGCCGTACCTGTGGTCGGCCCCCAGCGACCCCCTGCAGCTTGTGGTCACAGGTGAGGGTGCTGCAGACCAAGCCTTTCTTCTTCAGCTCTTGCACACTCTGGTGGAAGTTCCAGGGGAGGGGCCAACAGGTGTGAAGGAGGTGGGAGGCCAGGAGAAACCTGAGGCTTTGGAGGGTATATTCGTTTCTTAGTACTGCTATCGCAAGTCACCACTAATACACTGGCTTCAAAAACCATAAATGTATTATTACCTTACATTTCTGGAGGTCAGGTACTGAATGGGTCCCACTGGGACAAAACAAAGGTGTCAGCTGGGCTATGTTCCTTCGGGAGGCCCCAGGGGAGAATCTGTCCTGTACCTTTTCCAGCTTTTAGAGATGCCTGCATCCCTTGGCTCCCGTGGTCCTTTCCTTTGTCACAAAAGCCAGCAATGTAGCATCTTCAGTCTCTCTGTCTCAGACTCTTCTGCCTCCATGCCTCCTGCTTCCACATTTAAAGACCCTGTGATGACACTGGGCCCACCTGGATAATCCAGGATACTCTCTCCACCCCGTCAGCCTCTCACTTACCATGTAAGGTGCCATATTCACAGGGCCTGGGGATTAGGACTTGAGCATATTTGGGAGGCTGTTATCCTGTCTACTACAGAGTGTATACACTAGAAAAAATAATTCTTAATACCAGTGATAATGCCTTGAGTCTTGTCTAGGTTTCAAACAAACAGCAGCAAAAAACTTATGGAAATTACTTAAAAAATGCCACTATAATAGGAAGGAAACTTTGACTCCCTTTACACCACTAACACACACTCAGTCTTTCTTATTTGTAATAGTCGAAGCACAAGGTATCTCTACAACAAAGCATGCTGCTAAATCCTTTACATCAACTGATATAATTTAAAAACCATTATTGAAGTTTCCTGCTCACCATTGTTTTACAGTTATGTTCCTTCACAAGTATTGAAGCAACTGAAGTATTTAAAGTGTATTTTTATTTTTTTATTTTTTTTAAAGATTTTATTTATTTGAGAGAGAGAATGAGATAGAGCATGAGAGGGAGGAAGGTCAGAGGGAGAAGCAGGCTCCTCGCCGAGCAGAGAGCCCGATGTGGGACCCGATCCCGGGACTCCAGGATCATGACCTGAGCCGAAGGCAGTCGCTCAACCAACTGAGCCACCCAGGCGCCCCTAAAGTGTATTTTATTTTTTTAAAAAGATTTATTTATTTACGAGAGAGAGAGAGGGAGAGAGCAGGGAAGGGCAGAGGGAAATTTTAGCAGACTCCAAGCTGAGCGTGGAGCCCTATGGGGGGCTGATCCCACCATGACTTGAGCTAAAACCAAAAGCCAGATGCTCAACCCACTGCACCACCCAGGGGCCTCAAAGTTTATTTGTTTATTTTTATTTATTTATTTTTTATTTGAGAGAGAGAGAATGAGAGACAGAGAGCACGAGAGGGAAGAGGGCAGAGGGAGAAGCAGACCCCCTGCTGAACAGGGAGCCCGATATGGGACTCGATCCTGGGACTCCAGGATCATGACCTGAGCCGAAGGCAGTCGCTTAACCAACTGAGCCACCCAGGCGCACCTATTTGTTTATTTTTTATAATCTCTACACCCATCATGGGGCTCAAACTCATGACTCTGAGATCAAGAGTGGCATGCTCTTCCTACTGAGTAGGCAAGGTGCCCTAGCAACTGAATTATTGAAAATGCCTCAATAGGGGCACCTGGATAGCTCAGTTGGTTAACCGTTGGACTCTTGGTTTTGGCTCAGGTCATGTTCTCAGGGTCATGAGATGGAGCCCTGCATGGGGCTCTATGCTCAGCATGGAGGCTGCTCAAGATTCTTTCCCTCATCCTCTCCCTCCCACTTTGCTCCTCCCCACCCTGCTCACACACTCTCTAAAATTAAAAAAAATCTTTAAAAAAAAATGAAATGCCCCGGGCGCCTGGGTGGCTCAGATGGTTAAGCGTCTGCCTTCGGCTCAGGTCATGATCCCAGGGTCCTGGGATCGAGTCCCGCATCGGGCTCTCTGCTCCTTGGGAGCCTGCTTCTCCCTCTGCCTCTCTCTCTCTGTCTCTCATGAATAAATAAATAAAATCTTTAAAAAAAAAATGAAATGCCCCAATATACAAAAGACTAATGACTCTATCTATTAGCAAAGGGAAAATTCTTATCCTTTTGGTCTCCAGTGGATTAATATAGTGCAGGGTAAAATGAAAATGTACTAGTATTCAGACTTATTTTCATTGAAATCTAGCTAGTGAGGTCATTATTCAGTAGAAATTGCCCTCCATTCTTTGTTTTATTCAGGTATGGTTTCTAGACCTACAAGGTTACCCACTTTAAGTGTCCATGGTTTTTAGTGAGTTCACAGACTTGTGCAACCATCACCACAACCCAGTTAGCCCATCACCATCACCTCTGAAGGATCTCTGGTGCCTGTTTGCAGTCATTTTCCATTCAACCACTAACTACTTTCTATTTCTATAAATTTGCCTCTTTGGGGGAATTTCATATATACGGAGTCCTAGAACATGTGGTCTTTTGTGACCGGCTTCTTTCACTCAGCCTCGTGTTTTTGAGGTTTGTTCACATCGTAGCAGCTATCAATCCTTCATTCTTAAAACATGCCTCTTTCAAAAGAGGACAGCACAGTTCATAAAGAAAATGTGCATACACATAATGGAATATTATACAGCCCTAAAAAGGAAGACATGCGCTACAGTTTGGATGAACCTGGAAGACGTTACACTATGTAAAATAAATCAGTCACAAAAGGCCATATACTGTCTGATTCCACTCACGGGAGGCATTTGAAAATTGTCAAAACCATAGAGGCAGAGAGTAGAAAGGGGATTGCCAAAGGCTGAGGGAGGGGAAAAGGGGAGTTAGTGTTTAATGGACCCAGAATTTCAGTTTTGAAGATGAAAAATTCTGAGATTTTTTGCACAACAATGTGAATGCACTTAATACTATTGAACTGTACACTTAAAAAAAATAAAATGGTACATTTAATGTATTTAAAAATAACATGAAAAAAAAATTTTTTTTTAAGATTTTATTTATTTATTTGACAGAGAGACACAGTGAGAGAGGGAACACAAGTAGGAGGAGTAGGACAGGGAGAAGCAGGCTTCCCACGGAGCAGGGAGCCCGATACGGGGCTCGATCCCAGGACCCTGGGATCATGACCTGAGCCGAAGGCAGATGCTTAACAACTGAGCCACCCAGGCGCCCCCCAAAAATAACATGAAAATTAAAAAAAGACACATTTTCCTGCTATAATACTCAGAGGCATTTTTCTTGTAAATCTTGGTGTCTTTGCCCAACTCATGCTTCCTACTACATCTTTGAAACCTGTCCCTAATCTGACATCTGAGCACTTCTACCGCTCTACCATCCATCACGTAGAACTCGGTTACTCCATACAGGTCTGTGTCCACCTTTGTCCCCTTTAATTTTTTAATATTAATTAATCGAGATATAATTGACATATAACATTGCATAAGTTTAAGATACAGCACATGTCGATTTGATACATTTATATATTGCAACATGATTGCCACTGTTGCACCTGCTAACACCTCCAACCCATCACAAAATTGCCATTGCCTTTTTGTGGTGAGAACACTAAAGATCTGGTCTCTTAGCAACTTTCAAATCTGTAACATAGTGTGGTTGACAGTATGCTATGCATTAATCTCCAGGACTTATTTATCTACTGGTTGCAAGTTTATATACCTTTGCCCCTTTAGAATGTTTGCAAAACTATGGCAAGAGGAATCCTTTTAGAACAGGTTGTGAAAATCAGATGATTTTGCTCAAAGCCCACAGCGCTCCCTCCTCTCTTCTCACCAAGCCCCTCTTTTACCTGTCTGATCACTGACCTGATGCTCTGCCCTCATCCACTCTGCCTCAGGTACACTGGCACCTTGCTTCCCCCCACCCCACTTTTAAATTGAAGACTAACTGACATACAATGTTGTCTTAGTTTCAGGTGTACAACATAGTGATTTGATATTTATATACATTATGGAATGGTCACCACGGATAAGTCTAGTTACCATCTGTGACGGTTATATTACTGACTACATCCCATCTTGCTTTTCCTTGAATCTGCTGGCTCACTATGTCCTCAGGGACCTTGCACTTGCTGGGATGCTTTCTCCAGATCTCATGGCTCAATCCACTGCTTCCTTCAGGCCTTCTATCAAAGGTCACATTCTTGCCTCTCTGATGCTATCTGCCGCCTTCCCTGCCTAATTTTTCTCCATAGCACCTACACCTGTTCATACATTGTACTGATTTATGGTGTTTATCACCTGTCTGCCCCCTGCATCCTGGAATGTAAGCTCCAGAAAGACAGACATTTTGGCTGTTTTCTTTTCTGCTGTATCCCCAGCACAAACAATAGTTCCTGGCACATAATAGGAACTTAATGAATAGTCACCTGTATTAATTGTACAATGCAGTGGTTTTTAGTAAATTTAGAGTTGTGTGGTCACCACCACAATCCAGTTATAGAACATTTCCACCACCCTATCATATCCCTCATGTCCATATGCAGCCCCTCCCTCCTCCTCCCTCCAGCCCAAGGAAACCACTAATCTTCCTGCCTTTATAGATTTGTCTTTTTTTGGATCCCTGCTCATTTATTGCTTCTTTCACTGAACGTATTTCGAAAGTGCCTATGCTGGGGCTGTGCTTTGCTGGGGACTTGAAACTCTCTCTCTCTCGTATCTTTTCCTTTACACACACATATTACACATACACACGTAATACATACATATAGTAATTAGAATAAACAGTCTTAAAGGGTATCCAATACCTGCATAGCTGTCGCTGTGCATGCATTATGAATTAGAAGCACATGGTGCTGTTAGAACCTAGAAGGGGAGGCAGTTCGGGAACCCTTCTCTGAGCAGTCAATGTTTGACCTGGATCTCAGGGCAGAGTAAGAGGTAACTAGGTGGGTGGAGCAGTGGGATGGACTGCACGTGTGCGGGATTGTATGAGCAAACGTCCTGGGGTGAAAGGAGGTTGGCAGGTTGGTGCAGCTACAAAGCTAGGGTGGTGGGGGTGGAAAGGGGTTGTGTTTTGCTACATGGGCATCACCCCTTCTCCCTACATGTATCCCACGGCTTCTGCCTCTTCTGCTTTCCAGGACTTAAGAGCCGGTTTTGCTCCTAGGGACAAAGTAAGGTGCAGGTCACAGAGATCCAGAAAAAGGGACAGAACTGAAGTTCAAAAAGCAGGGAGGGCAGCTACAGAGACTGTCATTCTTAATGAGTCCCAGAATGTGCTAGATGTGCTATTTAACACCCATGACAGTCCAGTGGTGTGAGCTTCTTTGTATTCATTTTCTAGGTGAGGAAACTAGGTCGCAGAAATGCTTTATTATTTGTTCAGGATCCATAGCTAACAGAACACAGAACTCTCTTTTTCTGATTTCCCAGGGACCTCTGTGACCCCCGGCTGGTTATCCGCAGAACCACCATCCTCTGTGACAGGTAAATTCTGGAGGATTCATCCCAGTGTCTGGGGTATAGACCAACAGACCCCTTCTTTTCTTTCTCCCCTTTATCTAGATTTCTCAATTTAATTCACTTGTCTCTTTCATAAATTTGATTTATTTAAAAAATCACTTATTTCTGCCTGTAAAGAAGATTGGTATAATAATATTAGATAGACATTACTATGCTGCCCTACACCCCCACTTCTATCCAGCCTTAGATGGTTTATAATGTCTAATGTGGAGAAGAATAATCTGAGTGGCTTATAAAATCATAGATTCCTGGACTCTAGTTTTGAGTCTCTGATTCCATTGTCCAGTGGTTCTCAAACATTAGGGGGCCTGAGAATCACCTAGAGGTGATCCAGGTTTCTGGACCCCACCAGTTCCTGATTCAGAAGGTCTGGGGTGGGGTCCAGTTATGTTCATTTCATTTTTTTTAAAGATTTTATTTATTTACTTGAGAGAGAGAGCGAGAGCGAGCACAAGCAGGAGGAGCGGCAGGCAGAGGGAGAAACAGACTCCGCACTGAACAGGGAGCCCAATGTGGGGCTCGATCCCAGGACCCTGAGATCATGACCTGAGCTGAAGGCAGATGCTTAACCGACTGAGCCACCCCGAAGCCCCCAGTTATGTTCATTTCTTTTTTTTTTTTTTTTTTTTAGATTTTATTTATTTATTTGAGAGAGAGAATGAGAGACAGAGCACGAGAGGGGGGAGGGTCAGAGGGAGAAGCAGACTCCCTGCCGAGCAGGGAGCCCGATGCGGGACTCGATCCCGGGACTCCAGGATCATGACCTGAGCCGAAGGCAGTTGCTTAACCAACTGAGCCACCCAGGCGCCCTAGTTATGTTCATTTCTAACAAGCTTCCAGGTGACACTGATGCTTCTGATCCTGGGATGTCACTTTGAGGAGGACTGCACTAAATTTTGTGTGAGCCATCATATTCTCCCATCTTCAAAGTATCTTAGTTGATTCTGGTGTGTTGCATACCAGCGTGCCTTAAGAGACTGTGCATTAGTCTGTGGCATCTCTAACATTCCCCATGTCTCAGGGTAGACCCAAATCCTGAGGAACAGAAGCATGTTGAAAAGAGCCAAGTTGGACAAGAGTCTGCTGACTTGTGTGGTTGAGGGTGGTATGGAGGCTGTCATGCTAAACGAGGCACACTGCATGTGTGTATGTGCGCATATGTGTGCATGTATTTCTCATTGGAATTTTAAAAACTTCTAATTCTGAGATGTAGATTCACGAGAAGTTGCAAAGACAATACAGAAGAACTCCCTGTACCCTTTGCCTAAATTTCTCCAATGGCTCCGTCTTGCATAATTATAGTACAACATAAAACCAGGAACCTGACATTGATACAATATTTGTATTTAGTTCTATGGCAATTTATCACATGTGTGGATCCATGTAAATCACCACTCCAAGATACAGAACTCTTCCATCCCCACAAAGATATCCCTCAGACTACCCCTTTATGGTTATATCCACCCACTCCCCTCCCACCATTCCTACCCCCTGGCAAGTACTAATTTGTTATTCTATTTAATTTTGTCATTTTGACAATGTTATATATAAATGGAAAGGTTCACCTATCATGGAATGTTTTGGGATTGACTTTTCTCATTGAGCGCAATGCCCTTGAGATCCATCCAAGTTATTGTGTGTTATCAATAGTGTGTTCCTTTTTATGGCAGAGTGGTATTCCATGGTATACATGTATTTCATCATGTTTAATCTAAATTCAAACAAAAATTTATTTATTTATTTTTTGAGAGAGAGAGTGCATGCATGTGAGATGGGGAGTGGCAGAGGGAGAGAGAGAATCTTAAGCAGGCTCCATGGTCAGTGCAGAGCCCCACATAGGGCTCCATCTCAGAACCCCTGACATTATCACCTGAGCAGAAATCAAGAGTTGGATGCTTAATGGACTGAGCCATCCAGTTGCCCCTCAAACAAGAATTTATTAATGAGGCTCACAGGAAGAGAAATAACAGAGAACAAATAATATCCCAAGGTCTTATTATACCACAGATAGGTGAGCATAAGCTAGGCTTTGATGAGCTGGTTCCACCATACAAAGATGGTCCCCAGCCTTAATAGGAGCTACATATTTATAGGTTGAGGGGTTTTAGGAGATACTTTGGTGCCCATGTAACTGGGGAGGTCCCTGGTTAAGAAAATGGCCTCAGTAGGGAGGGGAGCCTCTTGTGTTCAGAGGCTGGTATCAACCACTGAGCTTGCACAGATCTACTGGTCCACTTCTTACTTTTTAAATTGAGATATAAGTCACATACCATGAAGTTCATCATACCCACCAGAATGGCAATAGTAATTAATAATAATAATAATGATAAAGCACAACAGGTGTTGTTGAGGATGTGGAGAAATTGGAACCCTCATACATTGCTGGTGGGAATGAAACATGGTGTCACTGCTGTGGAAAACATTTCAGCATTTCCTCAAAAGAATTATCATATGACCATATCATAAAATTACCATAGGACCCAGCTATTCCACTTGTTGCTATATCCTCTCCCCCCAAATTAAAAAATGTATGGTCATACAAAAATGTGTACATAAATGTTCATAGCAACATTATTGATAGTAGCCCAAAAGAGGACATAATGTAAGTCCATCACTGGATGAATGGATCCATTTCTTATTCAGCCACTGAGGGATAGAAGACAATATGTCTTTTTTTTTTTTTTAAGATTTTATTTATTTATTTATTGGAGAGCAAGCGAGAGAGAAACAGCATGAGAGAGGAGAGGGTCAGAGGGAGAAGCAGGCTCCCCGCTGAGCCGGGAACCCGATGCGGGACTTGATCCCAGGACCCTGGGATCATGACCTGAGCCGAAGGCAGTCGCTTAACCAACTGAGCCACCCAGGCACCCCGAAGACGATATGTTTTATAGCACCTCTACATTTGTCTCTCCTCAGTGTCTATGCAGTGTGTGTCAGAGAAAGGGGTTCTGGGAAGCCCAGATATCTCAGAAGGGCTATGCAGAGTAGGGACTCCCTGGGCAGACTGACATTATCCACTTTCTTATTACCCTCTTGCTTAGAATTCCCAGAAGCCTCCAGGAAACTGAGCATCTCACTCATCAACAAGAGCTCTACAATTGGTGGGTAACCAGGCGCTCAGAGCCCAGCAGAGAGGAGTATGAGGATAGGTTTTTCTCTCATCATCTAAGGCTTTAAGTCTGCTTCAGGAGATCACCTGATTCTCCCAAGGAAAGTCCTTGGTTTGAGGATCAAGGATAGGATAGAGGTGGGCTCTGAGTATGGGGACAGATATGCATTCTGGGTAATGTGGCCATTTCAAAGATGGCGGAGCCAAGGCTATGATGGGAGGACCATCACTCATTCCTACACACTGCTCTTCTGACTTTGCTCTGGTCCATGTGTGTAACTTTTGTCCTCTATTTTTCACTGCCTCCTCTTATCACTGCAGTCCCGTGCAACATACTTCTCTCACGCTGTAATTCTCTTCCCCCTCACTTTTCCTGGAAAAAGTATCCACTTCCCTCAAGACAGAAACCTTGATAGATCCCCTGAGGATAGGTCCAATATCTCCACTGGGTCCACCTGACTCGAGCTCTCTGTTAGACTCCTGATGCCAATAAGTTCTTTCTAAGACCCTGAGGAGATTCTTTATCACCCTCTGTTCAAAATCCTTCTGGGTTCCCAATCACCCTTAGGATATAGCCTGGGGTTCTCAGCTTGATGTTCAATGCTTTTAGATGCAATGCCCTTAGATCAGCCACTGTCTGATCCCTCCAGGAGAGGGACAAGATCCCTCCATTCTTGTCTTCATTCCTCATGCAAATCTCAGTCACACAGAGTCAGATGAAGCTCTCCTGGATCCCTGGCATCTCCTCCTCACTCTGCATCCAAGCCACTTGCTCTGCTTTTCCTTCCATTTCCTCCTGGCTTCAGTCCCTTAGGAGAGCCTTTTCTGACACTGGGTTGTATAGTTTCCTCTGTCCTGTGGACTATTATAGCAATTTACACAGTATATTAAAACACACACCTGTCAGATGTGTATGGCTGAGCACCTGGAAAGTCTCTGGAGATACTTGTGGAATTAGACAAGAGCTACCATGTGTGGGGTGCTTATCATATACCAAGCACAGTGCCTTATGCTGTTATTATTGTTATTGGTTTAAATTTCACATTAACCTGTGATGTATTATAATTATTTTCACTGGACAGATGGAAAAACTGGCTCATAGATATTAAGTCTATTGACAGAGGCCCCACATCTAATTAGTGATGGATCTGGGGTTCAAATCTAGACAGCCTGACTCTATAGTTCACGCTCTTCTTATGGTCATGGGATTCTGCCTTAAAAATGTGTGCATTCAGGATAGGGGCAGGAACAGGGCTAGGGGAGATGATCTTATCCCTTTATACTTTCTCTTTTTGATTCCCAGAGCCTTCTAGGTCTATCACCATCTCTCCAAAGGGGCCAGAGTCTCCAACTGGTAAGTGGTCCTCTCTGGACCTCTTCATTCCCACCCCTCTGTTTTCCCCTAAAGCTGACTGCTTTCCCTGTACAGAGGCTACACTCTATGGTCTTGGGTCCTGGTGTATAAAATACTAAGGGGAGGGTAAATATCCACACTTGGAACTCAGAATTGGGCAATAAGATCAGGTGAGAAGGTTGAGATAAATCTAGACAACCTGACTCTGTAGTTCATGCTCTTCTTATAGTCATGGCATTCTGTCTCAAAAGTGCATGCATTCACCCCAATGTTCATAGCAGCAATGTCCGCAATAGCCAAACTGTGGGAAGAGCCGAGATGCCCTTCAACAGACGAATGGATAAAGAAGATGTGGTCCATATATACAATGGAATATTACTCAGC